TACGAGCATAGAACAGTATGGAAAGGGCTATCCAAGGGTAAGACGAGTTCCGAAACCACCCGAATCATGTCAAAAAATGGGTGTGACGTCACCAAAACGTTTGACCACCACTGGAAATCACTAGCTAGTTACCTTCTGGCAGTGTAACATGTGGAGGACACTGGTGTAGAAACAGCTGATCCTTAAATTCGGTTACGTTAAGTCGTGCATGAACCCGACAATAGACTGACTGAGCAACTTGTGAACGAGAACACTAGATTTCAAGATCAGCTGAATTTATTGTCGACAAATATTACTGAAAAAGAAACTGTAGTTGACGCGGTCAAGAAACTGAATACTAGGATTGACATAATTGAAAAATCAAGTATGACAAGCACTTCGTATTCGCAAATTGTAAAAAAGACCTATGCTACAAAACGCAAGGAAATCCCATTGAAAAGCATACTGATTATACCAAGCCAGCAACAAACAAGCCTCAAGACGCGTAAAGATCTAGACAAAAACTCAAGCTTGTCTAAACTTCAAATCAAAATTGACGACGTGAAGAATTTTAGAAACGGTGGTGTGTAAATTAAGGTCCTCGAAAGTAATCATGCCCAGTTAAAGGAAGAAATTCAGAAAAAATTGCCAGCATCGTACCAGGTGTCTGAACCGAAGATGTTTAGACCTAAAATCAAAATCGTGGGCTACCATACAGATGAACGACTTACCGAAGAGGAGATAGTAGAAGACATCACAAGACAGAACCATTTCATAGAAAAAGAAGATATTAAGATAAATTTTATTAAGTATATTGCATAAAAATTTTTTTATATTATTTACGCAGAGGTCACAGGTAATTTATTTAAACAGATTTTTGAAGATTATAATAGAAAAATTCTCTTATTATTGTTTCCGATTTAATCATTCTGGAAAAAAATGTCAAAATCCTAAAGTATGTGCTCAGTCTGGAGAAAACCATGACACTTCCATTTGTAAGCGAGCACATTCGAAATGTTGCTACTGTTTGTATTCAAATCAACAGTATAAAAAATCTTACAGTACCGATCATCTTCCGACAGACAAAAATTGCCCAGTGTATGAATTCTTTCAACAAAGACAATTTTATTTTGATCATTTTAGAATTATTTAGAATACTCAAAATCTTTTCCAAATTATGTACGATTCAATTACTCTTAATGGCTGGTAGTAAAATGCTTATCGGACACTTGAATGTACGTTTCCTCATGTCTAGTTTTGATGCTATTGTAAATTTCATAGCATTAGAAAATTTTGATGTATTCGCTGTTACAGAGACGTGGCTAAATGAAAATATTACTGATGATGTGGTTAATATTAGCAACTATTGTTTCTTGCGTTGTGATAGAGAATCGCGTGGTGGTGGAGTTGGAATCTATGTTAAATCAAATTTACATGCTGAAAAGGTAGATATTCATACAAATTTTGGTGACTTTTTCGAAAGCTTTTGGGTTAAATTGGTTGTGGGAAAGTGCGAACTGTTAGTAGGTGTCTTGTACCGACCACCCTCTAAAAACATACAACAATGTGCAGATTTAATAAATGGTTTTCTACCCAGCCTCTCGTTATATCATCATAACATCGTGATATTGGGAGATCTGAATATAAATTTTTTTGAGCTGATGGGGTTCACACAAATCGTAACGGAAGCCACCCGTGTCACAGATAGCACTGCAACATTAATCGATCCAATATTTTTAAATAATCCTCAAACATGCAGCTATTCTTCCGTCATGGACACGAATGGTATTTCGGACCACAAACCCGTTTTTCTTAATTTTGACATTCCATCTTATAAAAGAAAACAAAAATTTATCACAATCAGGGATTTTAAACATTTCAGTGAGGATGATTTTCGTATCGATCTTTCTACATCGGGCATAGATTAATTATTTACGAAATCTAATATTGATGAGAAAGTAATGCACATTACAAGCGTTATCGTGGAAACCTATAATAAACATGCACCTTTTAAAACTTGAGGAGTTAATAAGCCACCATCACCTTGGTTAACTAATGAACTGCGCACTGTTCTTGATGAAAAGAATACTGCACAAGCTTTATATAAAACTAATAAGACCGTGGACGCCTATAATAACTTCAAATCGCTTAGAAACCGTGCTCTTAACATGATCAGGAGGGACAAAAAGACATATATCGAAAATTTGGCAAATGAAAATGATTCAAAAAAATTGTGGCAGTCTCTCAAACAACTTGATATAAATTTTTGTAGTAAACCAACCCTTCCGGCAAGTTTTAATGACCCTACCAAAATTAATGATTATTTTATGTCTGTGTATAGCTACAAACCTGTTGATTCACTAAACTATTTCAAAAATAAATTAAGCTCTGAATATATTTTTTCATTAAATAAGATTAGTGCAAATGACGTATTACAGGCAATAGGGAGCCTAAAATCTGATGCGAAGGGAACTGATGGTATATCCCTGTCAATGATCCAGCTTTGCCTGCCAGTTATTCTCCATCACATCGTCCACATCTTTAACGTCTGTTTGGAAAAATGCTACTTTCCAAAGAGATGGAAACAAGCTCTAATTATTTCAATTCCTAGAAAAATGAAACCCACTGAGTATAATGATCTCAGACCTATCAGTTTATTACCAATTTTATCCAAAATTTTAGAAAAAATTATAAAGTTCCAATTGACCGCTTACCTAGAAAAATTATTTATACTTCCCGACACTCAATCCGGATTTAGAAAAAAATATAGTACAACATCTGCCCTACTTAATCTGCAAGACAATATTTTAAGTGCCTTAGATAAGAAAATGGCACTAGCCTTAATCTCTATAGACTATTCGAAAGCCTTTGACAGCATCAATCATAATTTATTACTTGCTAAATTAAATTATATAGCTCTTGACAGTGTATTTCATTTTTCAACAGTTACCTTCATCAAAGAACTCAGTGTGTTTTTCTCAATCAAGAAATGTCTCAAGTCACAATAATTCCCTCAGGCGTACCTCAGGGCTCTGTATTGGGGCCGCTTCTGTTCCTCATATATACGTTCGACTTAAGCAAAAGTATTGATAATTCTCATGTCCAGTCATTTGCAGACGATACGCAATTGCTTCATTATTTTAACCCAGATAATGTCAATAATACTACTCAAATTTTACAAAACGATGTTAATAAATTAATTGAATACTCTTTAGATCACAATCTACTTATTAATCCACAAAAATCTAAAATATTATTATTTTGCGCACAAAGAATAACATACAATGTAACACAGCTCTTGAACATTCAGATAAATAACCAAATCTTGCAATTTTCTGATTCTGCAAAAATTCTTGGTGTTGTTTTTGATACAAAATTAAGGTTTACTGAACATGATAAAAGTCTATCTCAGAAAACCTACCTACGGCTGCGCAGTCTGATAGCAAACAGGTATTTACTAAATTTTAAGTTGCGTAAAAAACTATGTGAAGCATTGGTCATATCTATACTAAATTATTGTAATATCGTATACTATACTTGTTTAGACAATTTCACTAAAAATGTTATTCAAGTTATTCAAATCAATTGTATACGATTCATTTTTGGCTTACGTAAATTTGATCATGTATCAGCGAAATATCCCATTCTAAACTGGTTAAAATTAATGACATGGTCAAGTATCTCTATTCAGTTTTTGTTCACAAGTTGCTGCTCACGTCTAAACCTTATTATGAGTACTTGAAGGAAAAAATTTCATTTAATAATGATGTTCACTGTAGAACTGTCAAAGAAAATAATATTAGAATACCCCTGCATACGTCTACAATTTTTAAACGCTGTTTTTCTTACAATGTTGCTATTACTTATAATGACCTTCCTAAAGTATATAAAGAATTTTCATTACCTGTCTTTCGACAAAAAGTTAAAACATTATTACTCAACCCTCCAAACATATAATTTACGTAATCATTCATTTCTTTTTTATTCCATCTTTAATTCAGATTAATAATTTTTTGGTGCATTTGGGTTTGGAAAGTATGCCTTTTTCTCTTTTTTTAAATTTTACTTTCGATGTAATGAACCAAATCTGTTTGTGGATAGTGTATTCTTTTGAACATCTGCTAGAGACTATATGGTTAAGTGTAAGAGTAGCAGCATGCTAAACTTCGCCATGTAAGTCTGACATTTGGCTATACTACAATGTAATTGTGGATAAATGAAGACGTCTATTATTATTATTATTTAGATATTTTTGACAAATCTTGTAGTAAGCTAACTTTCACTAATCAACTCAAGCATAAAGAATAAAAACCACAGATGATATTCCAGTTCATTGAAAATCATATAGATATTCTTTTGTGCATAAGCTCGAATTCGAAAGACAAATCAATGACATGCTCAACCAAGGTATTATTAGGTCCTTTCTTGGCCGCATAATCACTCCCGATGCGATCAGGCCCAACCATGAAAAGATCAGTGCTATAATTAATTATCCTATTCCAAAAACAACAAGAGAAGTTAAGTCATTTTTAGGCTTATTAGGCTATTATCGAAAATTCATCAAATATATTGCTCATACCACGAAAGCGTTCATATATTGTTTGAGACAAAGGGGCTCAAATAAACATCAATGATCATTCGAAGACTGTGGAGCTCTACTAACTGATTTTTCAAAGTAGTTTCTTTTGACCACAGTTGTAAGCAACGTTGCCATATCAGATATTTTGTCACAAGGTCCAGTTGGACAAAGTAGACCAATTTCTTATGCAACTAAAACCCTTAGAGCATCAGAACAAAATTATTCTACCATTGAAAAACAGTATCTCGCCATAGTGTGGGGTACCAAAATGTTTAGACCTTGTCTATTTGGACCTAAATTCAAAAATTTCTGTGATCATAAGCCTCTACAGTATTTATGGAATATTAAAGAGCCTAACTCTAGACTAATAAGATAGAGATTGAAATTAGAAGATTTCCATTATGAGGTTATATATAAAAGAGGCGGGAAAATACCAGTGCCGATGCTCTTTCTCGGACTGAGCTACACTCTAACGAAACCCAATCAGAACTTCCACCTATCTTACAGTACATGGACGAATTTAACAGAAACCCTGTACTTGACGATACTAGCCAACCTTCGAGAAGCCGTACCGAAGATTTCCGAACTTTCCCCAAAAACCGAAAACCCTGACCATACATCTGTATTAGCCCAAACCGATTCTGACCAAGACGACGAAAACGAAACTGTCCATCCTAGTATCGAAAACCCCATACAAACTGCAAATACTACTGAAAAAGCCGTGAATTAGTTCAAAAATCAAATTGTAATAGTAAAGGTTCCAAATAAGCCGAGAATTGAAATTAAAAATCTATTCGCAAATCCAGTACTACTACACGTTGGATTATGTACACTAAAAACGGATCATTTAAAAATCAGATAATTTCCTTTCTAAAAGAGTATGGTGTACCAAAGAGTCAGTATGTATTTTATTTTCAAAACAACGATGACCAAAAAATGTCCAAAAACATATCTGTATTCATTTCTCGCAGTTTCTAAAATTCAACTTTCAAATTGCTCAAATCCAATACCTTGTTGTATGTACGATATAACGAATGAGTCTAGACTATTAGTACATTAAAGCAAAAATATTATTGGCCCAAGTTAGCGGATGATGTTAAAAAGTTTGTCAACAGCTGTTTTGTTTCCAAACAAACAAAATATCCGCTCATCAAATTTCAGTTGACACCTACACCCAAAAAGCCATTTAAAAAACAATTTTTATAGATACTTTCAAATTTGGGAATATCACTGTTTTGACTTTTTGTGATAGTTTTTCAAAATTTGCACAAGCCTATGTTTTTCAATTATCTTGCATGTTTACCAAAGCATCTTACAATTTGTCTGTTCGTATAAAATTCCCATTCTACGTTGATCGAACATCCTCGCGTTATATGCTGTTGTCGGATATAATAATTCGATTCATTCTGCTGCTAAACACAATCCAATAGATCTTATACTAGGCCCCCACGGTTTAAAAAAACCATGATGCTCAGTCGATCAATTCTAAACTTAGCGAATACAAGGAAATTATGAATAATATTTACAAGTCGATACGCGGTATTTGCGTCGATCGTCAGTTCTCCGCAGAAGCTCACGCAAGAACCATGTCATCCACGATGGAAGATGATGACGCACTTGCGTTATTGGGCCCGATTATGTGTTTAAAGTAAAAAAAAATTCGCGAAGTGTGTCTCATGAAAAGAAAGCAATCTTCTCATACCAACTTATTAAATGAGTTGAAATTCGCTCCCAAAGATTGGCATAATTATTTAAGGATGGTCGAGGAGGCATACTTAAATCTCCTTGCTTTGGTTACTCCACTAATAAAGAAACAGGACACTGTAATGGGAGAACAAGTTACCTGCTAGAGTTCGAACAGCCTAAGGTTATGCCCGCTACGTCATCACTTTATACCCTCTCCCTTGCGTCGATTGTACCCTATAAGAATATAGGAAATTGTTGTGACTGTCACTGGTAAGATTTATGGACATCTGTTACCGCCCTCTTAACGTGGTCCAGTTCTAATCGTGGCGAATATTTATATCGTAGAAAGCTTAAAAATGTATGTGGTCTTCAATGTCCAGAAATTATGTTGCTGTTGACGCTGTTAAGGGACATCCCACTCTCAGAAAGCCATAGGCGGAACGTTTTTTAGTATGTAGATACGCAAGTTTCAGTCAGTTGAGATTATTGACACAATTGGGATCTGATGAGACGTTTGTTCGACTTATTTATTTTTTTATTTATTAACCATATCATATTTTATATTTGATTGTGTTGAAAATTATTAATCTTATGGGGTTTGTGGATATTTGATGGAGATCCATAAATCAAAATTTAAAATAGTGAGCAGGTACCTACATATAATAGACACAATATTGAAGGGTAAAACCCCAAAGTTGGCAAACAACTAAAAGTAACTAAATTAATCCTAAGACTGTGATCCGCTTATATCTATACCAATCATGAGATTTCCTAGAGTGCATCATTAGTACCTAGATAAATAGGCTAATACCAATATCAAGCCTATGTAAACAAAATTAGTAGAAACAAATCTAATAATAACAAGTGTAAAATTGAACTACCTGGAATAATTCCCGGTTGCTAAATCCCTTCGTTCGTAAGTAGCGTTAAGACGATGAGTGTTAATCAATCACATTTATTTTACCTGCAACAGATATATAAACCTGTCCGTTAGTCATAAGTTCAGTTTGTAAACTAATTTTAACAAGGCACCGTGTGTAAAAATTGTCAAATAGATTGCAATATAGTGGAAATTTTTACTATTGTTCAAATTTCAATTATTAATAGTTTTGAACCAGTGATCTAAACAATGTCTGTGAAAGAGATTGGCGTGAAAGGAAAGGCGATTGGAAGTCAAGGAAAGGAAATTATCAACAATGTCAATAACTTCATGGTACAGGAAAGTGTAGAGGGATTAAAGTTTCCACTTCAACAATACCGGTATGTATGAATGTAAAAGATTTTTATAATTATTGTCAATTAAAACTGATTAACCCATTTAGGAAACGTGTGTTAGCTGCCACGGGTATAAGTAAATGTACTTATCAAAAAATAGCTAAAGAGAGCAGAGATGGAATATATTCAAGCAACTTTTCATTTTCATCCCCATCTAAAAAGCGGCAACGAAAATCACCTGTTGTGGATAAAGTGACTGCAGGCCAAATTGAAGAAATGAAAGCAATCATATACGATTTTTATATTTTGGAGAAAAGAAGACCTTCGCTGAAATGTAAGCTTTTAAATTGTAACCGTAATATCTAGTCATATTTCATTTTAAGATTTTTTAGGTATTTACCAAAAATGCAAGATCGACAACTCAATGTTGAGGGTAAAATAACGACTTTGAACTAACTTTTGAAACAAATGGGCTTTAGGTCAGTATTCATACACACTATAAGGTTTTCGATTTACAACGCTATAAATATAATTTATATCTACAGATGAAAAAGAACTACTGATAATAAAAAAAAGCTCTCATGGAAAGATATGAAATTCGCTTGAAGCGTATCGAATATCTGAAGCAAATTATGAAAAATAGAGCTGAGAACAGGAACATAATTTATACGGATGAAACATATATACATTCTAGTCATACCCCAAAAAAAGGATGGTCAGATGACAATTATGACAAGGAACTAAAAACGCCTTTATCAAAAGGACAACGAATGATTATTGTGCATGCTGGTGGAGAATTCGGCTTTATTCCTAACGCCTTGTTGATATTTAAATCAGGTATTATTTGTGTTACAATGAGGTAAAATATTTCCAAAATATTTTTACATTTACTGGATTATATGTATGTATTTTATTTTCAGGCTCATAATCTGGGGACTACCACAACGACATGAATCATTTGAACTTCATGAAATGGGTAGAAAGCCAATTGATCCCAAATTTGCCTGAAAATTCTGTGCTTGTAGTTGACAACGCTTCTTATCACAATGTCCTGGAAGAAAAAAATGTAACGTCTTCTAGCCTGAAATCAGAGATGATTGACTGGCTAGAAAAACATCAAATTCCTAGTGAAAACTCATTAACTAAGGCCTAACTATATAAAAAAATACAGAAAAATGAAAGATGATTTCCAGTCAAATTCAAGCTAGATGCCTTAATGGAACAGCACGGGCATAAAGTTTTACGACTGCCTCCATATCATCCGGAGCTAAACCCAATAGAGAAGATTTGGGCTCTCGTAAAAAACTGGGTTGCTCCACGAAATGTGACATTTAGGTTGTCTGATGTTGAGCATCTGACCCGTAGCAGGTTTGAAGAAATTGGAGCAGATGAGTGAAAGAAAATTTGTAACCACGTGAAAAAATATGAGCAAGCACAAATGGAAAAAGAACATCTTCTCGACGATCAAATGGATAAGTATCAATTCAATGTGAACACAGGATCATCATCAGAAGATAGTGACGAAAGCGACTCAGATGAAGATTTGAAGCTAAACACACTGTCATCTGATAGCGATTAGATTTTTTAATGATAATATATAATTTGAATTATAACCGTCTTTAGTTTGCTCCCTCTTCTAATTCAAATTTGCTTCCGAACAACTTAATGCGCATACTAAATGAATATAATAATACAAAAATCAATTAATGATCAATGTCTACACAACCTATTTTTTTTTTTTTTTAGCTACAGGTCGTTCCTATGAAGTTTTCTACAATAATATGACCGCAAACTCTCAATCAAAGACTTCCTGAAACCTGTGATGCTTTGTACGAGGTTCGGCGGAAAGACTACTTATAGGTAAGCATTGGATATTAAAAAACACTATAACCATCAAAGGGTTTATTAATTAAACTTATGCAATATATATTATTGTATTAAAATTACTGTTTAAAATGACCATGTACAGCCTTAAGTACGTCGTCACTTAGTTTATTATTTCCTGGTCTTGGCCGACTACGGTTCGACATTGGTGTATCTCGGTCGCTGTCAGAACGATTCGGCGTCGGTGTGTCTCTTTCGCTGTTAGAATAGTTCCGGGTTAGTGTATCTCTTTCGTTGCTCATTGAGCCGATGTTGGCAGCTGACAGCGCCTGTAGAAGTTAATGTTATGTTCCTAAAAATAATGACTACTGATGAACTTATTTTGTTACAGTTTCCAAAAGCAGAACAGGATTGGAGAAAAATAGCGAGAGGATCTCAGTACAAGCGGAACTTTCCTCACTGTTTAGGTGCCATTGATGGTAAGCACGATGCCTCCAAGCAACAGTGGCTCTATAAACCTAAACATAGTACGGTACTTATAGCAACCGTGGATGCAAAACACAGATTCCTGTCAGTTGATTTTGGAACAAATGATAGGGTTTCCGATGGCGGAGTATTGTTGTAATAGTCCACGAATATTGCCCTATGTATTTCGAGCTGACGACGCGTGTGCTCTAAGAAATGACGTGATGAAACTATTTCGGCAAAATGACTTATACGCTAGAAGTAAGAATATATATATAATTATCACGAGCACGTCGCATACTCGAAAACGTATTTATCATGCTAGCGGGAAGACTCAGAATTTACAGAATATAAATCAACCGGTCACCTGAAACTATTAGGTAAGATAAAGTCAGGACTCACAACAAGAGAGTCATCACTTGAACCATTACAAAGAACTATCCAAGGCGGCGCACTTCGAATAGCATATCAGATTACATGTCAATTTATGACGTATTTTGTAAGTGAAGGAAATGTTTCTTGGCAAGACAGTTTCATTTATTAAAGTGGAACGTTCTGAACAAAATATTTACCATCTTATACAGGGTGCATCTCGATCGTCGCGAAAAAAGTTGCGGTCAATGTACTCATGTACGAGTATACGAACAACTTCTTGTATAGGACCAACTTAGAAATCTTGAAAAATATCCGCTGCTCCATACACTTTGCTTGATTGAATTGTAATTTTTTTATATAACAGGTGATTTCCTTTCCACTATTTCGAAGTTGGTCCCATACAAGAAGTTGTTCGTATATATGAGTACATCGATCTTAACTTTTTTCGGGACGATCGATATTCACCCTGTGTAACCCAATAGAGACGCTAAGCTTTGATTATTTCTTGATTAAATTATGCTTTACAAATATGAATTATATGAATATTTGGATATTTATAAAAATATTTGGATAGATAGTGTTACTATGGAAAAAGGTACCACCTTAATATCAGCCTGTTGGCATATAGATGGATGTTTTTGGATTTTGTAGACCAGCGTGTTGTAGGCTCCATTTTTTTGATGCGATCATGGTCTCCATTGATTATGTCTGCCAAAGGCAAGTTTCGCGTCTGTAGCTTGCTATAAACTCTTTCAGTTGTTCGCGGTGTACACCTCTTTCTTCTTCCGACATGTTTCAACTTGCAAGGCAAGTGATCATGAGTACGATCCACGCGTGCGCACGCAAGCGAACCTCGCCATGAACTGACGAACCGAGCGGCCCCCATCCACACGCGACGATGAAACTGTGCAAATGCAACCGACAACGATTTATCTTAAAGAAATTCCAACTGCCGGCATTAACCATAAATCTGCAACGATTTGTCATACACACGATCGATAAATGTGCGCAAATCGGTTTGCAGAGATGATTCACTACGATATATCGTTACGTATATAGCGGGCATAAGACCAAACCGATTTACAGACCGGTACATATTTTAGCGACAAACGACATAACGATAACGACACCCCAAAATAAATATTATAAACAAATCTCGAAACTTCCACAAAATTGACAGGTGACCTTTTACAGGTTATTGATGCTGCAAACAGCACTGGTTCAGAAAGTTCTAATCGTCAGCCTCAACGAGAGTCCCGGAGTTCTTCCGATAAACTCAGGAACAGCAAAAGTAAGAATTGTTTCTCAGATGTTCCTACATTATATTCCCAAATCCCCGATACAGTGCCAAATAGATACAATAACGACCCAATATTTCCGATTAGGTGAAGTAATCAATATTACTTGCATTTTCTATAAGCTTCCCTTGAGTAAGTCTTATTTGGAATATGAAATATCTGTCGTTAATCAAAAGTTTTAGGGTCGATTTCACTAGCATTAAAATCTAAGGGGGTCTTCGATCAATTAGGGAACATATTATTGCAGTGCTATTTGACGGAAGCTGTCCACGCTCTCCTAATATCAGTAATTTCTATTGAAATATTGAATAAAATCGTGAAAAAGCGGCTGTTTTATAAATAACGGTACATTCTAGATGTCATACCATGTCTTTGAGCTTTAGAATTAGGATAACTTTCATAGAATCGCTAATTTATATCATTTCATAAAAGATGGGAACTTGAATCTAATGAAAATGCAAGAAATAATAGTTCGATTTTCTAGCTATTACATTTAATAGGATGTTTTCACTGTTTTGGAAGACTGTCCATGCATGGAAATCTAGTTTTGACTCTATATCACATACGTATCTGTAGAAATGTACCAATTTTTTTTATTTTACAAAAAAAGGATAAGAAATATATTCCAACTGGTTCATCATCTTTTGTTATATCAAAACAATTTAATACCAATTTATGATCTAGAAATCTCACCAAATGTAAACTTACAGCACATGTATTCTTGGTTCATAAAACATCGATAGTTGTAAATGTATCTGCATCCACCTATTATTCATCGTATAGGTATTATAAGTCACAATCAAAAGTCCCTATTTACCAAGATATTTGCAAAACTTATTATCTTTCCTTTGTATTTGATTTGAAAGACGTCTGCACATAACACCTGACTTTTAAGGTGTATTTGGTAGGTTACCAAATTGTCTTATACAGTTAGTCAGGAGTGCAACCACAAAGTGGCGGTGATGCTGGATTTTCCCTTCAATCTGTTTGACAGTCCAATGTTCAATGCTTTGATTGTATGTAATTTTGAATTGAAAGTTGAATTTTGTGCGGCGCCGGTGTCTTTATTAGTTTGGTGTCGGTGATGCTGATATCTGTTGGGCGTTAAGCTGAATTTAAATTTACAAACTTAATCTTTGTAATGGTGGCTTATCGAAAGCGGGGATTTGAAAAGTGCGTGGTGTCTGGTTGTCCAAAATATGATGCCGCTGTTTTTAACAAATGGTTCGAGCAAGTGCGAAATTCAGTTTTGGACAGTAAAAGTGACGAACAGATTTCTAAAAGACATTTGGTGTGTGACTTACATTTTTCGGAAAGTGGAACCAAGAGAGGTCTGAAAAGAACATCTCTTCCTGCATTATTTCATCCTGAACTTCAATCTTCAAGGAAGTAATAACTTTGATTACATATATAAATTAAGTGTATGCACTGTGTAATCAGTGAATAATCAGGATTAAATGATTCGAACATTTTGGTGTCCTAAAAACGTTCGCAGTATCTGCAGTTTGGAAAAATTTACCTAGCATAAACATAATGAAATTAATTCCTCTTTTAGGTATGATTTCGGAAAATGTCCAGAAACTCACGAAGGGAGTGGAGAAATTGCTAATTGTAAATTTAAATGGTACATCGGTACTTGCATAACTGTTATTTTTATGTATTGTATTAAAAGAATACACATTTAAAAAATAAAATCAGGTTGAGCCTTATTGTACTTAAAATATTTTGCATATAGTTTGAATATTTAAATCAAATTCAGCTCCACAGTCCAAAGATGGCGCTAGGTATTCTACATTTTTAAAGGGTTCTATAATAGTTCGTATAGGTTCTATAACAAAATCGGAGTATATCAGGAATGGCGCTACAAACTTAGTGACAAATCTTAGCACTACAGATTCCCTTATATAGAAGGTGTTATGTGGACGTTTGGAATCTTAATTGCTTTTGAAGTTTTCTGCAGTTTTGCCGAACAGAAAAAAAGACGGAGTCGGTAAATTGAATCGTTGAATTCTGTATAGGAAAAAATGCTGTTGCCGTATCAGTGGCGGATCAAGGTCCTTTGAGTCACGCAGCACCGTTTATGAAAAAAGTTTATTATTGTATTGAGCGCGCACACAACATGTTTTTGAGGGCATAGTTCTATACAGGGTGTTTCAGAACTATGGGATCAAACTTCTAGGGGTTATTCAGTGTAACAGTAGAAAACATTTGAGCATAGGGACCCATATCCGGAAAAGTGTCACTACGGCACTACGGCCCTAAGACGCGTCAAAATTTAGAAAGACGATGAATTGTCTAAATAGGATTTAATGCATTTAATTTTTGCCTTTTGCTGTATATGATATAATCACAACAACTGTTCAAAATGTCTTCCTCCAACCTGAAGACACAGATTTAAACGTCGCGCATGATTTCGGCGGACTTGACTAAACATTTTATACTCGTTTTGAATGATTTCAAATGCTGCTGTAATTCGTCCAATTAAGTCTTGCTCTGTTTCTACTGGAGTTTCGTAAACCAAAGACTTTACATGTCCCCACAGGAACGGTGAATTCATGTTGGAGGAAGACATTTTGAACAATTGTTGTGATAATATCATGTACAAAAGGCAAAAATTAAATGCATTACATCCTATTTGTTACACTGAATAACCCCTACAAGTTTGATCCCATAGTTCTGAAACACCCTTTATGACAACTTGTACAATGTGCATACTGGTCGTTCTTTCAAAGTACGTTGCAACCATTCTGGAAATTCCTTTTCCTATTCTTGCTTATAGGATTGTGAATTTTTTCCTGTCTTATCCCTGAACTCATGAACTCACCTCACACTTAACTACAATTAAATATCTATTTTGGAAACAGACAGGTTTCGGTTTCTTTATTGCTTGACGGTAATCTACCAGTCTGTACCTTTTGTACACACAAAAATCAATTCAAGCGGAGTAAGCGATGGGGATGTGCGTTCGTAATCATAGGCAACCCAAATTTACGCTTTTCGTGTGCGCGACTGTCTGAGTGTGTAACATATGTTTGATTGATATACGGCATAAAACTGCGAATACTACATACAATTAAGTTTTAGTTTTATTTTTGGTTGCAGTTCTTTTTTGGAAAGTACGGAAATATTTTTATCATTTTGAAAAATCGTGTAAAATGACGTTTTCGCTAAATATTTTCATTTCGGTAAAAATATCGAAAAATCCTGTTCAAGTCCATCCATAGACAATCTGAAACTAGCAATGTGAATTTATATTCTAAAATCTATGCATATCCATTCATATTTGTCAAAATTCCATTTGAAGCATCCATTTTTCATAAGATTTTAGCAAAATGTAAAATAGTAAAGGCAACATCGCAAACCGCAGCCCGTTTACAAGAACCTGCCAAGACGTATAACCTGGGATAACCAACGGAGCCATTTGGGGTGTCATGGAGTCAATTTTAAAGTTTTCACTTGCATTTTTTCAAGTGTTGGCAACAATTTTGGAAAAAATTCCACTACGTATAGCCTTATAAAGCATAGTAGAGTATATTTTAACAGTTAGCCGAGTTTGCTCCACTGGGACCAAGCGTTGACGAATTCCGCAGAATTGTGTGCCATAATGGTACCGATGAACGGCAACTAAATGAATGGATGTTTGGAAACAAGCAATATCTATGAAATTTTTGTTAGGGCCTTTGTCGTCAAGTAGGTGTTTAATGGACATCTGCGAGAGGTTTATAGGAAATAACACACGGTAGGTGATATTAAATCAGTAATCGCATATCAGTTGAAGAAAATAATATAAATATTAATAATAAACAATCAAAAATAGTAAAAACATATGAATTTTATTCAAAAATCAAACTCATTTTTAAATTTTGACTGAATTATATGTAATTTCTTAATATTTAATAAGCTGGTGATGTTTCAATGGCAAGCTGTCATCTCATACTTGCAATATTTTGTTTTCAATACTACATTTCTATTGGTTACTAAAATTTGTTGAATGGATCTTAAAGCTCATTCGCTATATTTGACGGACTGTCACCCTATAGGTGGAAAATAATGGTTTGTTGATTTGGCAATCCTGGTGAAATCCACCGTAAGGCTCGATTTCACTAACATTAATATTTTACAGTCAGTTTGAACCAATGGGAAAAGGCATATCTAAATGCAATTTGCGGGAAGCTATCAAAGCTCTCATAGAATATCAGTGATATCTATTGAAATATTGAATAAAATCGTGAAAAAGCGATTGTATTATAAACAAGAGCACTTTTTGATTCCAACATGATGCTTTTGTACAGAGAACTATCATGTATTTAGCTTTTTCTTATAAATTTACAAATAATAGGTAGGTTATAGCCCAACTAACAATTATCACTCCTATTAGAGTTGCAAAAATGATAATACAGTATTCCTTACACAGCTTGTATACTGTAAGAACATTGGCAAAACCCTCTTAGAACAGCTATACAAGGGGAATGGGCACACCTAATAGGACACTTCATTGATTTAAGAGGTTGTATAAGGGTTGCAGGTAACATTTATACAACAAAAGCGTAAGCCCCTTGCAGCCGCTATAGGACATTGGCGTAAGTGCAAGATTCAGTTTTTGTCAACTATACAACTATTCTGTTACGTGATTCTACTTTATTGCAACCAAACTATTTCTTATGTATTGCATAGACGAAGTGAAGAATATAAAACTAACACATTACAGTCATCTTGTTTACTTACATATCGGCCATTGTGAATTTCATACACAGGTATATGATAAACTTCTACACTGTGATATAGGGCTATTGAATTACTTGCGCAGTAAATTTTATTGTGATTATCGTGCAAAGTAGTTACGCAATTATAATGATCAAAAGTATGTATAGATTTTTAAGATGGAAAACTGAACTTATCTGCGGCATATCTTCCACAAATCCTATACTTAGACACAATTACACTAATGTTTATCACTTTATATCTGTAATTTCGAACTGAAACATAGGTATTTAATATTAAATAGAGGAATAAATGTTTGCCCAATATGGCGGGTGGTTGTGTATAATCATGGCATCGTCCATGTTGTCTTTAGGTTATTAGAATATTTTGGTGTTGCCTGCAGGTGTTATACAACAATTTGACAAATGTCTGAAATTAAATACCGACAGAGTTGAATGATTTACCCAGAATTTGTACCAGATCTATATCTTCTGTTTGAACAGTTGATAAAACCTTTTGAACCAATGTGCATGCGTTGTTTGTCTTAAGACATTGGTTATGGCATTATAACAAAAATATGACAGCAGAAAGTTAGGTTATGGTGAAGTTGTTTACCAACATATTTAGCATATGTACAGCCTTTAACAGTTACTAAACAACAGTTGTATAAGTTCTTCCGTTGGGAGCAATTTGTTAGCTAAAGTAGTAAATTGCACAGCAAAACAACAAGGCTCGGGTTTGTTTTATAAACGTTACCATGGATGCCACAACACAACCATTTTTACTAACGTGGAAATATGCCGTATAAAATAGTTGTATAAACGTTTATGCAACAGTTAAAAATTTGCCCTATAAGGTGTTGTATAACTATGCTATAAGAATATTTTAAACACCTCATTTTAGACCAAATATGTTGCAGAAAGCAAACTTGCATTCCACACAACATTAAGCCAGCATTTTGGTGTTCAGGCAACAACAATAGAGAGCTTTTATGGCTGAACGGTTCTTTTACCAAAAGCTTATACCACAACTTTGCTAGTTGGGAGGTTAATGCATGGCAATCTCGAATTTGTATAGTTCTACTTACTGTTTACATGTTATCATTATAGCTATTTACCTGTTGGATTGGGCGGATTTGTCTGTAATTTGCAAGAAAATGGAATATGAAATGCATTGCAACCAATTCATCATCTTCCTTTACATCATAATATTTATTAATTTATGGGTTATCGAATTCCTTCAAAGCAATCAAAACATTACGTCCTCTCCATCCTAAAACACCGATATGTGTAAAACGTGTCAATCCCTACATCTCCGTGATGCATAATGCAATTACTATAGATATAGACAAAGATTATGAGTTATTTCTGACAAACGCCTTCTAACTCCAAAAATCATAAGCAATAGTGCTATGGCCACACTAGAAGGCGAAGATTCGTGTTCGTGTCGCGATAATCTAGAACGTCGCGATAATTCACTTCGCTGTTGGGATGGAAAAGGCGGTTGCACTGTATTACATGACGGCTAATAATTATTTAATGCATCTTTCCTACTTGAATAAGAATAAAACGATCAAAAAGAGGAATGAAAGGCGATGGTAGATGTTATCTATACAGAAAAATTGGTTTGGTAAATATCGTCCTTGCCTGCTCCAGACATCAACGATTTTTTATATTTATTTAGATGCGTTCTATAATGAGCCATTACGTATTTCAGTTTTGCTTTTAGTTCCTCAACCAAAACAGGCCAGCTTAAGTTAACATTAATTCTCACCCATGCGTCGTAATTCAAATGCTTTTTTTTTGTTTGGCTAATGCGGGTTCCATAAAACTGGTTCAGATTCATAAATTTGTATGAATTCTAATAGCCTCTCATTACTACTATCCATGATTAACAAGTTAAATCAAACACGTCAAACCGCTCATCGTCTCGCAGTCAACTAAAGCGCGCGAAGTGTGGTCAACCGCACGAAATTTGTCGCGACAAATCCCTTTGATGTGCGGCAATTTACCGACAGCGGCGCGAGGGGTATTCGTATTCACGAAGATGATTCGCGATAGGATGAATTCTTTGGCAAAACGTGTTGCGACAATGCAAATCTTCTCGTTATCGCGAAAGTGTGGCCCCAGCATAATAAATAATAATGTTTCTTGTTTGGTTGTCTTTTTGACTTGTGGGGATATCTATCCGTTGCTCGCAGGGTTGGCAAGTCTAAGGACGATTACTTCCCGAGGTGGAGTGTCCGCAGAAACTTCGAAAAGAATCTTTTACATTTGAATTTAAAGTTAGAACAGAAACATAGCACCTATGATAGTTGGAGCTAGACTGATATCAAATCCTGAAGAATATTTGAAGAGTGTTAAAAACATCATGGTATGTTGTATCTTCAAATTGAATTGAAAATTCTTACATACAGTGGACTTCCGTCACATTTTACTATCCTGATTATGATCATCTTTGGCAGATGTGTTGTATCATCAAATTGATGACGAAATATAATAAAGCCCTGATATACCTACGCACAGCGGATTTTTCGTGAAAATTTACTAGGTATCATGATTATAGCCATCTTTAGTAGATTGTTACATCCGGAACCGGAAAGATCTCTTTTTTATGAAAATATTTTTGGTATAATCTAACCGTTCCAATCAGTGCATAAAAACTGTGACACATGATTTATAGCATAATCCGCTGCCCTATCAATACAAATTTAACACGCAGGTCGCCTAGCCGTTTGTATGCAGTGGTCGGAATAATAAGTCACGGCAGCAACTGACGACTTGGGCATGTCTGGTCACAACGTATGAAGTGCAATTCGCTAACTTCACAAAGTTGAAGATTTTGTACAATTTCTTGGAAAAAGGATGAAATATATGTCTGATTTGGCAAGGTAATGTCGCAGCGTAATGGCAGTCGGTCTTTCTGAATGCTGAACAGGCAGATTGAAAATAAGTTCCCACACCGTAGCCTTCCACCACTTACGTGTCAGGATGGAAGGATTGTAACCGACTCAAAGGCAAACGATAAGCTACTGAAATCAGCCTTGTATGATCTAAACCAGTGATTCCCAAAGTGGTCAATATCGACCCCTAGGGGTCTATGATAACCTGCAAGGGGTCTACGTCAGCGAAAAAGAATTTGGGGGTCCATGAAATGAATATGGGGTCCACGATAGTGGATCTCAACACATACCCTGATAGTACCTATTTACTTACATCATACTATCTTATAATATCAAAACATATACATTATTTATAAAAGTACCTATGAAGTAAAAAATTTATTATATATGTTTATAAAATTGTGTAAGTTGTAGGATGTTGGTATTCGCTTTGTGGTCGCAATACATTTTGAACTTGTAAAAACCTGAGAGTCGCAGTCTCAGAGCTTCGCTACCTTACACTGACTTGTTCAATTCGCCACTCTATAAATACGAATGTGGGCCAAATACGTTTATTCGTTTCCGTTTCCTGAATCTTGAAAAGGAAAGTGCTAAGAAAATATTTTAAAAAATATAAACAGATAGTATATCACACAAATTATAGTGAGTCAGTGTTATTTTGTTTGAGAGTGCTGGAGAAAAGTAAGTACATTATTTTTTATTAAATTTTAGTTTTGTACTCGTAGTTACCAAATATAGATAAATTACGCCAATCATCACTTTAGTTATTAGTAGTTAAATATTCAATCATGCAAAATTACACGAGTACTCCTCAATAGTTTCTTTTTGAAAGTTCTGGCAATCGGTAATATAATTACAGTGCAATCTCCGTAATTCGAGCTAATTGTTGCAAGAAGATGTTCGAATTATGGAATGTTTTCGGAAAAATCAAAAAATATTTTTAATATACAGCTGCTGGATTTTCTGTCTTATTTAAATAATTTAATTTTTCCCACAGATGACTGATGCCATGTCCGAATCTAAAAAGAAATGTAGACAGTACAGTGTTGATTATTTGAAATTTGGCTTCATGCCATCATTGCCGGACAAACAATCGCCTATGTGCCTTTTATGCAACAAAGTTTTGGGCAATGATGCTATGAAACCATCTAAACTGCAAGATCATCTGAGAAGATGCAACCCTGATAAAGCAGAGAAAGATTTGAAATACTTTCAAACACTCAAAGATAAATTTCAGAAGAGACCTACACTGGACAGAATGTTCGCTTCGACGTCACAAAGAAATGATGATGGTTTGCGGGCGTCTTACAATATCTCGTTACTTATAGCAAAATCCGAAAAACCACATACTATCGGAGAGAAGTTAATTTTGCCAGCCGTTAAAGAGGCTTTAAAAAGTGTTTTACACAAACCTGCATCTGATATCATTAAAAGAATTCCCCTAACCAACAATACTGTTGAAAGACGTATTGATGAAATGAGTTCTGATATTGAAAGCTTTTTATGTAATTATTTGCAAACCACCCATTTCTCTATACAACTGGATGAGTCAACTTTACCTGATAATGCAGCATTATTATTGGCATATGTTCGTTTTATTATGAATCAAGAAATCTAAGAAGAACTGCTCTTCGCAAGAACTTTGATAACCGACACTAAAGGTGAATCAATTGTTCATGTTTTGAAGTATTACTTCATTGAAAAAGCAATTCCTTTATCAAATATAATATCAGTAGCTACAGATGGAGCACCTGCCATGGTTGGGCGTTATCGTGGATTTATAAGCTATTTAAAACAAAATGTGTCAGGGGTGTTAGCAATACATTGCGTCATCCATCGACAACATTTGGTTGCTAAAAATTTGAGTGTTAGATTGCATGAATCACTTCGTTTAGTCATTGATGCAGTAAACCGAATCCGAAGCAACGCGTTGAATACGCGGTTATTTGCGCAGTTGTGTGGAATAAATGACGAACACTTTCATCAATTACTCCTTCACACTGAAGTACGCTGGTTGTCGAAAGGCTTATGTTTGACAAGATTTTTTGCACTTTTTGAGACTAATTTAGAATTTCTGGATACTAAAGATAAAATTTTAAAAGAAAATTTAATGAATAGGAAAACAGACATCGCCTATTTAACAGATTTAAATAAATGGCCTCTATTCAGATTTTGAGTCTAGGTTTGAGGATATTTTGACTATGGTAATACCACCGTGGATAATTAATCCATATTCTGACATAGAAGAAACGAACTGACTGAACTAAGTACAAACGAAGAACTTAAGGTTCAGTTTATAAACAGATATCAGCAATTCTGGCTGCGAAACAACATACCCGTTACTTATCCCGTATTATGGAATATAGCGAGGAAATTTTTAATTTCCTTTCTATCGTCATACCTAGTGGAAAGGGGGTTAAGCGCTGTTACCAATCTCCTAACGAAAAAAAGAAACAGGCTGGACATAATTAGCCGAGGAGATTTAAGATTAACCCTTACAAAATTAACGCCAAATGTTGATAATTTATTATTAAAGCATAAGGTTCATCCTTCTCACTAAAAATATTGACTTATTGCTTATGTTATTTTATTTATAGTTTATTTTATGTTTATTGGTGTCCAATAAATGCCCGCATTGGGAATAAGTGCCCGCATTGAGTTTTTTAAAGAACCCCCCTTTATAGAACATATTTTTTTTTAAATTATTCTGAAAATTCAAGGATAGGTACACACTAAAATTCGTTAATTTTTTGCCTATTTTTAGATAACTTAAACGTATAAGAAGCGGAATTTAATCAACCTAACAGTGAAATTATTGTAGAACATACGTTTATGTTATAATTAATAAACGAACTCGCTTATTGTACTATTTTAAGTAAAAAACTTTTTTTTTAATTATTTTTCACTTTTTTTTTATTTTATCCCTCTTATTTTTTTTCAATGCGGGCACTTATTCCCAATGCGGGCACTTATTGGTCAGACACCTGTTTATTTAATGTTACGTATATTTTACATAACAGATACAAAATTTCATTTTGAGTAGCTTTAATTTAAATTCAATTAATAAATATATAAATTAACATGTCTTTTTACTTTAAGTTTTTAACACTAAACTTCACTACAGTTAGAAATTTACAGGAAATCAATATCAGGTAAGTAGGGGGTCTACCCAACACGGAAATACATGGCAAGGGGTCTACGACACAAAAAAGTTTGGGGAACTCTGCTCTAAACTGTTATATATTACCAAGCTATTGAATCGCGTCTTCTTTCAGTGAAACTAGTGTTGGACTGGTGTATATTCTATATTCTTGTAACAGAACCAGTTTATATATTCATGTTCTTTTGGTGCGCATTTTGAACTACTTTCTCATTCATTGTTAAAACATAGACGACTTGAAGCAACTCGTGCTGGTGTTATCTACCGTCTTCTGCTTCGATTTCCATCTTTGAATGCAGCCGTGCTGTTTGCTCATGGCTTACTATTGATTTTTTTTCGGTAATTCACCATAGTAACACGGAAAAGGAGAAAGAAACGAAAAATATGTTCCATTGACAGATTACTGCGCGAGACACAACATGAGAGTTGTTTAATATTGTTTTGAGAGCAAGTTTAGGATCAATGGTATTAACTAAGGTAGAGTATTTTAAACACAAAAGCTGCGCTAGTTTTATCAGAAGAAAACACTATATCTCTGAGCCACAGAAGCAAAGCGAATCTCAGACTCTCGATTGTCCCATCACTAGCGTGTTGAAATAGCAGGTTGTCCCTTTTTGGATTACTTGAAATAGTGATGTGCTTTCTAGTTCGTTGAAGAAATATAAAAACAGAAACAGAGCAGATATTCCAGTCTTTCTGTCGAGATAACGTAAGAACGATTCAATTCATATTTTTTAATCGTTCCAATGCATTCCACTGATCGCAAATGTATTCTGCCATCACCAACATTATGAGACACTAATGTCAAATGTCAATTCCTCGATACTCGATATCAAAAAAAAATATTTATACGGAAAATTGTTGAAAAATTCAGGAGTTTGTTAAAAGAATAGTTACTGTAAATCGTAGTATTTTTGCAGCTATCTGGTAACCTGGTTTGCTGGCAACTTTATCATAAATACTTCGATGTCTTTCAATAAATTGCTGTCAACTGATGTTGGAAATCTTGAATAGTTTCAGTCAAAATGTCGTTGAAGAACTGGACAGAAGTGTATCAATTTGTTGAAATGCAATACCTAACAAAATTTCGATGGAAAGGCTTTTTCATGTATGAATTTGGATGTGCAAGTTTGCAAATATCCTATAGGATAAACTATACGCACATAACACACGGTAGGTAATGTTAAATTAGTATAATCACATACGAATTACAAAAATTTAAATAAACATGGATCAGCAAAACCGAAAAAAAATCATGATGTATGAGTTTTTACTCAGGCATTTTTTTAATTTTGGCTAAATTATATATAATTTAATAAACTGGTGACATTCCACTAACAAGGCATCATCTCACATTGTTTTGTTCTCAATATTTCAATTCTATTAATTGCCAGAAATTTTACGGAGAGATTTTCAAGCCCATTCGCTATATTTAACGGGCTCTTTTATGCAGATACCCTATTGGTGCAGAACAGTGGCGACTCTTTTGGTAAAACTCGCCCAAGTCTTTCTTTATTTCTGAAAGATCGAAAAGAGGATTACTCAACCCTTTTGGTTCTTCGATCAAGTATTTAGTTGCCAATATGGATAATGAAGACGCAAAAGAAATATACGGCAGCATCTCTGACAAAACAAAATTGCTCGAAAAATATGTCCATAAAACTATTACTACAGTAATCGATAACCAAAAATCCACATCAGATGAAATTGAACAGCTAGGAATAGCGCTGAATGGAATATCATTCGCCCCATCACATTACATGAAGGTTCATGAAATTTTGAGCCAGATCAAAATTAATCATATCACTAAGTCAAAAAAAAAGTGACTTTGACAAATGATAGATTGATTTTCTCATTAGATTTTCCACTAGCGCATCCCGGCACATTCAACTATTTTCATTTATTTTCTGTTCCAAACGTGAATGATACAATTTTCATACTCCCTTCGTCATTTCTTACACTGAGCAACGAGCACTATCACTACTACGACGAAGCATGTTTGGAACTCCAAGACCAGAAGAACGACCTGTTGCATATGCGTGAAATTCCCTGAGCCATTGAAAATCAAAACGAACTGTGAGGAAGAAAAAGTATCCATTCTGCGAGTTTCATACGTAATTACTGTTCCTCCAGATTGTTACATTACGACATCGAAATTCACGTCAAAAATTAAAAAGGAATTAGCATACCAAGACTTATAGTCAAGCGGCTTGCTCTAGAAAAAGTATCCCTAGACAACTACACCAAATCCAACTTCAAGACTCCGACGAAGAAAGTTTAGAAGAGATCCACTTATAAATCTACTCAAGATCATCTTTAGGTATTATCTCAGCCATTGGCCTTTTGGTGATCAGCTACATAGTTTTTACTAAATCGCACCCGCTCAAGCAGATCAAGAGAACCCCAAAACATTGCTATCGGGGTAGAATCAGTATCTGCGCCACTGAGTTGCTTTCAAGGGATGGATGGGTTATGTTGCTACAAATCCCTTACGTTATAATAACGTATGTCCTACAAGTTTTGACACAAAATATTTATCGAATTTTTTTTTAATGAAGAAATTTATTTAAACACTAACTAGTTATCATAAGTTAGGACTCAATACTTGACTAAACTATACTATCGAATTATATGAAGTAGCCCATTCTGCTCTACCAGACATAACTTTCTTCGAATGTCTCTCTTAATGTCCTGGACGGAATTCAGATCAATTTCTCTCAGTTTTTCGTAAATTCGCCGTATTAATTGTTCTTCCTAGACAGTGAAGCCCAGATCCTTAGCTTCTTGAGCTGTGTGTGCTGTTTACACCCACCATACACCAAACAACTCTTTTTTGGCTCAAAAAGACTTTTTGAGCATTTCGGATAAGCCACAGAAAGATAACGCGTAACGTAGGAGGGCTTCAATCTGGGAATGGTACAACATCAATAACTGGCTTTCGGTAAATACCGATTTCATATTTATAATCATATAATATTGTGAATACAGTTTATTGGATATGTAATCACAGTGCTGTTTGAAAGTAACACATTCATCTAGATACAACCCTAAGAATTTTGTCCCCAGACCAAATTGTAACGTTAAGTTATTTAGTGTAAAGTGTAGTGGCGCAATTGATCTTTGGGTATTATGAAATCGTAGCACATCGGTCTCTTCATAGTTCAAACGGAGCTGATTATGCTCAAACCAGTTACTGATGCTGTTTAGTAGGCCGTTGCCGGTGTTTTATAATCTTGTATCATTTTTATCTGATACAACGATTGATGCACCGTCTGCGTACAACGTAAAATGGCCTGCGGGGAAGGAGTGCTCAAGATTGTTGATGTATAGTGAGAAAATCACTGGTTCCAGTACAGAACCTTTTGGTGCACCTATATCAATATTAGTTTTATCTGATGATACATGTCTCACTTCAGCATTACTGGTGCAAGCAATAGAACCGTATTGCTATCTATTTTGTAAATAAGATCTTATCGACAGATACGCGGTTCCACAATTCCACATTTAGCTAATTTCATCAACACAGTCGAAGGCCTTACTAAGATCGCAGAAGTTGTTGTCATTCAAAAACGTCAGACTATCTGTTAGTACTTTATTTCTATTATATTTATCATGTATTGTGTGAAATATGTTTAACAGCGGCAACGTCGCGCCCCAGACAAGATTCATCATCGCAAGATGGAAGAAAAAACAAAGAAAATACGTTGCTCGTGAAATGTCACATTTTGTCAACAAAATAAAAATAAACACGTCAGTTCACGAAATCTCGGGGTGCCCTTTAATTAAATTGCGAGCGAAAACATCCAACCATTTTTTGGTACCACGAGCCGAATCTCGAGCCAGTATTCAGCAAGAACCACGATTCCTGTCATCCCGTCACGAGAAAACTACAGGAAAATCACGCCATCGAGCCACGAAGGTAACCTCATTTAAGCCTGAAAGAGCCACGGAGAAGTCTGAAGAAAGGTCAGTACACTTTTCCATATATGACAAAGATTTTGGCGTCTTAATGACAAGCAGATTATAAAACCATATATAAGAAAATGTGTGACATTTTTTTGAGGCAAACCCGAAAACGACTTTCCCGTTAATGGGACAACTTCTCAAATCACGCGTCACTACCTCTAGACCATTTGGATCAGTTGCCGTAGACTACGCTGGCCCCTTTGAGATAAAAGATGGCAAAACTCTCACGAATAAAACTATCAAGTGTTATATTTGTATTTTAGTTTGTCTCGTGAGCAAAGCTTGCCATATCGAAGTCATAACGGATTCAACAAGTGACGGTTTTTTAAGCCTTTTGTAGCGTTTTGTATTTCGCAGAGGATATGTTCTCACATGTACAGCGATAACTCTATAACATTTGTTGGCTGCAATAATGAGCTTCTAACATTGCGTAAAATAATATAATCCCAAAATTTAGAAAATTATACAGTCCAATCGAAGATTACTTGGAGCTTTATGCCAGATCGATTGCACGAAGCAGAAATTAAATCATCTAAAAACATAATTTAAAACGAATTTTGACAGGCACGCATTTAACGTATTAGGAGTTCTACACTTTGACTGCTCAGGATGAGGAAATTTTAAATTCGAGACCCCTCACCCCTATCTCGTCCGATCCTAGTGACCTTGAGGTGATTACTCCTGGACACTTTTTGATCGGTCAGGTGCTCACAGCTTTCCCGGAACGCGACCTGACACAATGCAAGATTAACCATATCAAACGCTATCAACACATCCAACTGATGAGGCAACATTTTTGGAATCGTTGACAGAAAAAATATCTACATTGCCTTCAGCAACGTAGTAAATGGCAGTGCCCAGGAGATTTTAATATACGTGTTGGAACTATGGTCCTGATCAAGGAAGACAACGTACCTCATATGTGCTGGCCACTAGGAAGAATCGTCGAAGTCCATCCTGGAAGAGACAGTGTGGTGCATGTCGTGAGCATCAAAACCAAACAGACTACGCTTAAAAGAGCACTGACCAAGGTGGCAGTGTTGCCAATTTGCAAATAATGACATTTAATATTTTGTTATGTTTTGAAAGTCCAGCCTTTCAAGTGGCGCGGTTACGTTATGTACTTCATTTCTATGATGTATATATTTATCATGTATTGTATGAAATATGCTTAGCAGCGGCAACATCGTGCCCAGACAATATTCAATATTCAAATATTTTTGAAAAACAAGGTGGTTTAGTCACTTATCTATAATTTCTGATCTGTGACGTATCACCCTTTTTGTGTATAGGAGTCTTGGTCTTCCTCGACGACTTTGATTGTCGAATTCGAGGACTCGTTAATAACGCAACAAACCACTGATTTTGCGTCGACTTTTGGAAGGTTCCTCAAATATTTTACACATCCTGGATGGATAACCACCCCACAGTTGTAACACTGAGGTCCCGTTTGAGCCACAACACAGCGCATTTTGCAACATTTTTGGAGATCGTCAAACCAACGTTTCTCACTAGTAGTCAATTTCTTCTTCTCTCTTCTCTAAGACCATTCCTCCTCAATTCCAACGATATCGTACTCTTAGAAGATCTGTATTGATGAGCCAGTCTCCTTGTTGACATTCCACCCGACCGGTGCGAAAGAGTCCCGAGAATGTCTGTTAGAGAAGAGTCATCGATCTGTCGGACCGCCCTCCTCTGAACAGCATCGAGCATGAATAATGTAGTCGGGGCGGCAGCACCCCAAACGTGTGAGCAATACTCGAGGCTAGGGCTTATCTGGGCCTTGAATAGAGTGAGAAGGTCATGTGGACAAAAGTACTTCTTAGCCCTAAACAAATAGCCTAATATTTTCCCAGCAGCTGCCGCTATTGACGAAATATGCTCGTACCAGATCAAGCTCTCGGTGATCTGGACTCTGGCAAGCCAAAATCAACAGCTCTTTGGTATATGTTTGTTCCTTGAAATTCTAACGCCGGGTGTCTAGGTTTGGTATGACCTTTCGCTAATGTTGTGTGTGGCAATGAAGATCACGGCATCACATATATCGTCGCTGGAAAGACAAAGAGGCGTAACTCCAATTTAGCTATTTTACAGGAGACGCGATATACGCCCGTTTGTCTTTTTAGGTTTAGTAAGAATAGGAGATCCGTACCACATACTGATTTGCCATAATTCGTTAACTATAAGAAGGAACGATACGCCACTTCGTCATATTATAGATATCCACTTTTAGAGATTTCTGGTGGTAGCAACTCCAAATGGCCATTTTTCGACTTCGCGTCCCTTTATCTTTCCAGTGATGATATTAGAGAGATGAGACAGAGGGAGAGAGAAAGTTGGAGGAAAGAAAGATGTCAAGAATTTGTCATTGAAAGGACGATAAGTTAAAATAGGCATACCACCAGCGGCTTCGCTTGGAAAATATCAGAAACATATGTGATTGTTTCGTGAAATTCTGACTAGGAGCGCACAGCGGGACGAAAAGTTTGCGGTCGAAAATAAACTTCGTGAACAAAATTCGTAACTTTACGGATGACATCAAGATGACAAGACCTTTTTGCGTTTGTAGCCCTCTGTTAGGCGCGCCTAATTTTGTCACGTGGATGGTCGAGCGGGTGACATGTATCGCCCACCTCTTAATTGAAAAAATACTGACTTTCTATCAAGTTTTATCTAAGTGATAATTTAATTGAGTATATAAAAATGTAGTATACAGGCCAGCGTCTCGTCGTTCATGACAAATCGTAATTTCCACACAGTTGGTCAACTAGATCTACACCTACTTTTGTCGAATTTTGGGACAGTGTGAAACTAAAGTGATGTCTTCCTGCAATACGAAAAATGGATGCTTCTTGCTCAGATTCCGAATTATGTTCACTATCTGAAGTATGATCGACCTCCTCGACCTCGTTTTCATCCTCAGCAATGTCATTATCACTTAATTCTTCGAATCACTTCAGCCACACTGGAGGATCTTTACTTGTCTCCATTTTGCGTCTTTTATCGTTTGGTTCCGACATATTTTCTGAAAAGAACACAATCTCGCATGATGTAATTTGAATGTAACGGTCAGAAGAAATGAAAAATAGCACAATACAAACTATGCAAATAAAAAATGTGTGATAATTATAAACTGACTAACTGATATTAAACAAAAGTTATGTAAAAAAAAATAAATAAAACATACCTGCTTGTTAAAGTGACGCGGAGAGGCGCGCGGGTGACACTTGTCGCCCAGGCAAATTATCTGTGCATTTACTTCAACACTAAAAATACGGCAACGTTGTCGATCAAGGAGATGATCTCTCAATCCATGTTGGAAAGATACTGAGAGCGGCAGCTGCGTAAATTTATTGGATATTGTTTTGCATTGTCAAATATACACGTGGGTGACAATGGGTTAAGGGTTAATTGCAGCTCTTTTGAGAGAAATTGTCTGAGGGATACCCACCGGGAGGAAAGTTCTGCCGGGCCGCTGCACAGGATACTGCTGCCCACTGTAAGGCTTGTTGGACAGATCTTGTCCACTCTGCTTGAGCGGCATCTCTATCATTTTCGTAAACTATAATCGGGATATTAGGAAACGATTTGTAGCGACGCGTAGGCTTCCCTGTCCAAGGAAACGTATCATCAGTACTCATCAGTACCCACTTCAAGAATAAGGGGAAGGTCATCGCATGAGATGTCATACATAATTCTAGAAGAAACACGGAAATCGCACTTTCTTAATATCGCGAAGTCTGTAACATCTCGTGCCTGCAGACAGGGGTGATGTGTCGGTTCATCGGTGCTGTGAATGACGCACCCATTTCGCATCACATAGTTATATACAGTGTGTCCCAGATTCGGTTCTCTATAGAGGGATCTCTGTTATACATACAGTAAAGATTAAATGGGGAAAGTCTTAGAGGAAACTTAGTGCTTTCGACAGCCGGCTGCAGATTTACGATCGGTCAATTGGTTTTGAAAATGGCGAAATTTGTTTTTTGCCAGTAAATACAAAACGGTTAATTTGATAGCTGTCAAAAAGTGAAATCACTGGGACATTTAAAAAAAAAATAGGATAGCGTGTATGACATGTCTCAATCGTCTTTTGTTTTCCAGCAACCTGCCTCAAATTGCATTTTTCTTAAGACCGCCATATTGGATTTTTGATTTTTGAAAAGAGTGTACAATTTCCAGTCTAGTGATGTCTCACAAGTGCTTAAAAGATTGGAGTATTTCCGAAATATCATCACACGTAATGATATGTATTAGTGTTTTTTCTAAGGAGGTCATGATTTATTTGTCAGAAAATAACATTAATGAGTAAGGCATAAAATCACAGAAACGTCTTGAATTTTCAATAAAATATTAACGTTAATATCGACTTCTCAACAAGTCGAATGTTTTGGAACAAACTCCCAACTAGGAGTGTGTTAAAAACATTTTAAACTCGCAATCGTTTTAACCGTACGAGATTTCGTAAACAAACGTATACTGTATTACTCTTTCTACATCCATCATTCGGAGTGGTTTGTGATTAGGAGATCTCAAAAACAACTAAACTAATCTACTCCAATGTTGTGTGGTTATTTAGAAGTATGAATCCAACGGATTTGAAGAATTTCAAGATTCTGCGTAAAATTGTCGTCGCATTACCAACAAGTGTCATAACCTGTATTATGCCATAACTTTTTTGATTTTAGTCGGATATTTTTACGTGTCGTCTAAAATCTTATTTGAAGACTTTTTCGTTCCTGCCAAGACTTTCGATTGAATCTCAAAAAATTCGTTTTCGCAACCTTTGTCGTCGAATAAAAAGTTTTTTCGCAAAAGTTGGTGTACCCATTTTATGCGTCCATGTTTTAAATACCCCCTTGAACAACTTGCATCAATAAAACCACACTTTACAATTATTTCGGGCAAGTTTGCTAATATGGTTAGACAAAACAGTCCGGTGTCGATACGTACGAGGTGGTCCGGCTAATGGTCTGCGTCACAGTCGGCAGTGGCTTCCGTGCTGCTGTAGCCAGTATGGTTATCCACACGGGATTGGTCATAGCAACGATCATGTGCACCCTCAGGAACTTCTCTCAGGTGGAGGAGGAAGCTCATTTAATTTTTCGTTTACGAATTGATAACGTTGCGTGGGAAGAATGGAGTCAATTCACTTGACGCCATTTTTTCCAAAGCTTTTCAAACAACGACATACAGAAGGAGATGCTCTCTTTACTATAACAAACCTTGGCAAATTTAAGACGCAGGCTTGTAATAGGCTATATCTTCCGTGGGTAACTAATATTCTAGGATGAAAAATAATACCAAAACGCAGTCCATTCGGGGCGTAATTCCCGGAGCTGAAAGTCTCCTCATTATCCAGCGAGGTTTTACTACGCTCGGGTTAACTCAAATAACGACGACGCTGGTGAACGGGAAGGCAAGTGAAGGAAATAACCTCCACTAGACACGCACATTGTAACAATGAATGCGCCAGGAAGAAAAGGCAGTCAACCAATCGAACTCTGCTCCAGGAACTTTCGAGGAAAGCAGAAAAATAAAGTATAAGGAACCATTATTGTTGTAGGATAGACTTAAAATGCGGATTCACTAAAGGTTGATTATGTTAGCTATGTTATAGTCAGCCAATCAACTAACTAATGAGAACTGCCTCGAAAAATACGGTGTTAATGTTCAGGGAGAGAGAAGGGTTCAGGGTCACTTCAGAGAAAATAGTGCAATCTCCTATTGATTTTATCCATTTTCACAGATTCGGTCTCGTTAAAAAGGATCTGATGTGCGCGTCTAATGGAGGTTAAGTTTTGTTACTTTAGTTCTTTTTAATGTTAAGAAAGTAGATGGGGTTTATATGTTCTAGAACGACCTCGACGACACACGTCCATGTAGTGTCAGTTACCTTGAGATCGTGAGCTTGAAATCGCGTGACCTTGAAACGCGAAATACCTTGAAGCGATGTGACCTTGAAATTGTAAATGGTATTGACGTTGAAGCGATGTGACATTGGGAGGCTGAATGACCTTGACCTTGAAGTCGGACAACCTTCAGGATGTGAACAACCTTGAGGTAGAGATGGGATCCGTAGATTTATGCCTTTGAATATGTGAAGAGATGTATCAGGATTCAGTTGTTAGCAGACAATGAGTGTAGTGGAGTACAAAAGCAAGTGACAATAAGTGATACAACATGTCGAGTGAGTTGCAGGCTGCCTTTCTATTAGTGCAATCAGTGTTAGAACGGGACATTTTGGTACTGGACCAGAGTTCAGATATGAATCAATCCTGGAGGATTATATACCATTATATTTATAAACAAGATTTCAATAAAGAGTATTAAATACGTCTAGTGTTTCACAGAAAGACAGTGTCTATTGAAAAAATATTGACAGGTCACACAATTAAGTCGCCTTTTTTGATCCATGAATTATGACTACTGTTACTATACTACCTGCAACCCCTGCTACACGAACAGTATAGATGGCATCAAATTTTTTAAGGTATTCTGCGTATCTAGGTTGTGAGATCATTTCTTTTACTTGTTGTTGCGCATCAGTAACGGCAGTATCGGTTAACTCATTCTCTTTATCAAATACTGTAGAGTTTGGATCATTTCCTTCCAAAGTTGATATATCTGAAAGGTTGCTTTTATCAGTGTTACTAGAATATGTGTCTTCAAGAAAGATGATTCCTCCTTGTGGAAGGTACCGTCTGTACGGATCATCCTTTATATCTTTGCTAAATGATCTGTTAGGCGTTGATGTCGTTGATTCTAATTTCATAGACTCATTCTTGATCACCGGCGTTTTTCTCCAGGAGCTTTTGTAATGATTCCGAAATGGGCTTCAAACGCCTTTGTTCTGTTTAGGCTATGTCCGATTTCAGAGCAAGGTATTTTTGCTTGACAGCATTTCTTGTTTTCATTAACTTTGTCAATTTGGAAATCACCTTTATATATGCAAAGTTGTGTTTATACTGTAACTTCTATCAAGTTGGATATACTTATATACTTTCTACAAACATATGTTGAAGGATTTTCTGTATCTACCTGAATATTTTGGAAAATCCTTATCGATAAAGCTATGCGGTTATTGCCAGCATAGCGAACAAACAAATTCAGCGAACGTCATGTCGATATTGATGTGATGATCATAAATATGTTTTGAATTCAAATTATCTTGCGGAAATAAAATCAGTAGAGTGCAATTATCCCTCAAATTATGTTTAGGTGCGGCAGTATACGTCAGACAAAGATAAAAGCAATCCGCGTTTCGATGTCGTCCGAAACTAAATTACCGTTTCATTGTATCTCTTAGCTATAAAGCTGGAAAAATCTTCAAAAAGAATAATGGAGTTTGGTTTAATGATGTCCGGGGTAACAATGTTCTCATCTGCACTTAACTCCAAATATCCAATATCGCTTAACGGTTCTAGTGTAGCTTTCAAATATTGTAACAGTTGCCTTTTATTGCCGATGAATCATATATTTATTTTTTTTTGTTGTTGTTGCTGTCGCACAGGTTTAATTTGAAGTAATGCATCGAGAACTTGAGAAGGAAGAAACAAAAGGTGATAATCTAATCTAATAATCTCCGTAGCATTTTATTTTTATTTATACTAAATTATTAAATCAATTTTATTGACAAAAATGACTAGACCGGCCCATTGGCCATTTCCCAATATAGGGCTTGTTTTCAACGGTGTATTTAGCTATATTTTTCTCACGTAGTTCATAACCAAAATAAATAACATGCAGACATTTACCTATTATCATGTTTATTTGAAATAACACACATAACACATGAATACCACGGAATAACTATAATTTTTAATTTGTATCCGTTGTTTTTCTTCTGTAGTCGTTTGGCTGCCTGTATATAGTAGTCAGCATCTTCCATGTCACTGAACAATTTGGGAACTGAAATCAAATATTTCTCAATCAATTAAACATAATCCATCCTGACCTATTTAATAATCCAAAAATTTCAATTATTAAATTTAACGTACAGCAATCGCACTCCATTTTGAGCATCTTTACAGTTTCTACCACTGAGTTTATAAATGTGTAGTCAATTTTCCATGCATTCAGGTAATTAGTTGAAGAATTTAGTCACCCTGATATGGACAATTTCTTGTGTTGCCTAGTAATTTCCCTTGTTCACCATGAGGAATAATTTTAGTATTCATCTCCACATATTTTCATAAATAACTCGGTTGCTTCCATCCCATGCTAGATCTTCCACCGTCAAGAAATCAATTCAATCTCGAAATTTTCGCATCGGGGATTTGTTTACATCCCAACAATAATCCGGTTTGTCACTCCGGAGCTAAAAATAAATAAATAAATAAATAAATGTACATCTATAAATTGATATCACCTTCTGAATTAAAAACTATTTGTGTTGCATAAATATTATTACTCACCTATTGAACTATGTATTTCTTTTATAGTCAGATGAATTTATTATTGTTTTCTGAAATCTTTCAATGTAAAGGCTGATGTCGCTGATGTCGAGGTACTATTCTGCGTACCGAACTACTTGCACACCTCGCTTGTTCCGCATAGTTGCCAGTTTTATTTCAGAATTTCCTTATGTTTATTAGTCAATCAAATTTATAGGCAGATATGACAGTGTTGCCACATTTATTCACGATATTTCCTTGAATTTATATTAGGAACCTTCTCATTTTGGGATTAGCCGACAACGTTTGGCTCTTAATGGTCAGGCGTACAACTATATTTGGAAATGTCAAGTCGAAAAAATTGAATTTTTGGATGGGACTTCCTTCCACTATCGGAGGGCCATCTTGTTCTGTTCCGCTAGTGCTAATTTTCCTCCTTTTTTGCCTGGGGCATCTTCGTTGGATTGTGGAAGAAAATTTCATAGATAATTTCCTGGGTCATTCCTGTTGTGAGTGCGCAGCATCTTTTTTTTTTGTCTACCCTTGGACCCGAGAAATTCTACAATTTGTAGGATCTTACTGTCTTCAGCTGCACTTTTCGCCAGACAGAACCACGTGAAAAACCCTACCCGACATCATGTTGGGCTTTTATTTTGGGGGAATCTTCACTACTGGAGATCCTTTGACACGTTTTCTACCGGGGACCTCTTTCCAAACAGGGACCCTTGTTCCACCATAGGGATTCTTACGTCATCGGTTTTGAAGCCTTCCTCGCCCATTTTAAATTAGTTAGTCAATAAGCTTTCGCATTAAGGGGGATCTCCTAGGTTGGCTGGCTTAAATTTTTGTTGTTAGCCGTTAGTAGAGGTAATAAAATGTATTGACGTTAATTTTAGCAAGTATTTACCCACACAGAAAATCTATTATTTGTATGTATTTTTGTTTTTGTTTCTTGGGGTTTTGGGCTAACGAGTGCCTTTCAACACCAAGGCGTCTTCCAGTTTTGGCGGATAAAAGCTGGTGCCGCCCCTAAAAAAATACCCCCCCTACTCTCCGGTGTACCTGAGCATAGGCCCTAATTTGCCAACGCTAAACCACGGCTTTAGCCTCAGTAACCGCCTAGTTTTTTTTAATCATCCATTGCCTCAATTGAGAGAAATAACTTTGGCTTAAAATTAAAAAGTGATCCTAATTAATTAAAAAAAAAGAGCGTTGCAATATTGGTACTTGGCGTGATACAGCGACTTGCAATATAGATATACATCGTCAAACCTTAGTTCATTTGGATCTATTATTAGACTTATCATAACATTAGTTTTTCCCAACCCGGTTGGATCGAAAACTGAGGCTCGCTCGTGAAAAGGTTGCCATGTTTCCTAAATGTACCTTCTTGGGCAATCCCATCATAATTTATAACAGGTAATTGTACTGCCGTTGGCTCTACCTTCATTGTAGTATGTTATGGATAGAAGTGACGCCAATAGTGCTCCTCTGTCTCCTATATATAAATATATAAAGAAAATGATCATGCGGAGAAAGGTAAATAACAAAAAGTAGGAAAATAACGGGGAAAATCCGTATTATACATTGTAGTATAAAATGGCTATAAGTACTAGAATTTTCATAGGCATGTGTATGTTCTTTTGTAGTTGCATATGTGCATTCATTTCGGCCCTGATGAAGCCAACCCGCAGAAATATATACCATATACCTTTCTCCGGATGACCAGTTTCTTTTTGTAGATCCTTTGTGCTTGAAATGCCACAGAAAGTGTCTGTAACCGGCGCGGTTGTGGTTAGATGTCTCCTTGAAAATTCGAGGTCTTGTAGCCACTTTATATTACCATGTGCACATTCCGTTACGTACGCTCGAGACGATCGGTCGACATAAGAGTGCTACTGATAAGCGGAAGTGTTTTTCTTTTGGAGATTTATTATTTGGTGTTGTTTGTGTTATTTCCTGGTATTTGGGTAAGGTTTTTCGTAATATTATATATAATATAATAAAAAACAAATTCTATGGATGAAGAATCGGGCGGCTATGAGCCGCCCCAAATAGCAGACTCAGCCACCAACAATGCACCGGATTTATCATTAAATAAATCAAATGAAAACGATTTCAGGTATGATCTTAGCAATAGATATTTATCAACTGATAAAGGTCCTTATTATGTGTACATGGGGCATAAAAGCAAACATTTAGGTAGACTATTTCCGATAAAAGTACGCCATTTTTTGCAGAAAAATGGAGAATTTAGTAACGACATTCTTGACATACAATCCATGTCTAAAAAGAGTAAAGGTAGTTTTTAGAACATATAGCACAGCTAATAAACTGATAAATCATGATTTAGTAGTTAGTAATGATTTGATCGCATATATCCCTCACTTCTTTACTAGTAAAAAGGCGTTATTCGTATGGTCGACACATGCTTCTCTGAGGAATATCTGAAGGAGAAAATCATATCAAATAGTACAGTCGTTGCGGTTAAAAGATTAAAAAGAAAATCCTTGAACGCAGAAACCAATCAGCAGGTAAATAGACAGATGGTTGTGGTGACTTTCTTGGGCAATGAAATACCTAGGGAAGTCGTTATCAATCTCGTGCGATTTAAAGTCGAACCGTACATCCACCCGGTAGTGCAATGTTTTAAATGTTTGAGGTATGGGCATACGGCCTCTCAGTGTGAAGGCAAGGAAAGATGTCAAAGGTGTTCTGAGGAACACTCAAGTGACGTCCGTTGTACAATAACATTTTGCGTACATTGTAATAGTGCTGAGCACATTTCAACTTCCAAAGAATGTCCTATGTATAAAAAACAATACAATATTAAAAGAATCATGGCTCTCCAAAATAAATCGTTCAAAGAAGCAGAAAATATAGCAAATAACCTGCCTCATACTAACATCGAGACAAACAATAGATTTTCAGTTCTTAAAACCCTTGACAACTTTCCAGAATTGCCAACCGAGTCTTATTCTACAGTAACCAGTCATATCAGAAAGCCTATCACCCGGATCAACAACCCGGCTAAATTCCCTACGCCTAAAAGAAGAAAAACATCAGCCTCGCAGCCTACAGCGAGCACTAGTTCCGACTCAAAAGAGTGACCAGGTCACAACCTATTATCCCGAACCCTTATCGAGAGGAATTTCAACAACATAAGGAAAATATAATACTTCAAATATTTACTCTTATCACCAGTTTATTAAACTCGCCGTCAACAATTTCTAAAATAAACTTAAAAGAACGTATAAACTCTATTCTTGAGACAAGGAGAGATTCAGCCAGTCCTAAAACACACAGAGGTAATTGATATTTCCACATTGAGTGATGACGATTTTGCTACCTATTGATGAATAGTGGTTCAACACACCCTCCAAGGGAAAGGAACAGATATGTAAGCATTTTACAATGGAATGCTCGCTCAATCTGTGCCAACAAAGCTAGTTTACAAAATTTCCTATGTAACAATCACGTAGACTTTATATTAATTTCAGAGCTATGGCTAAAAGTAACTCAGAATTTCGCTCTGAAAGGTTACAATTTTGTTAAGAAATGTAGAGACACCCGTTCTGATGGTGTGGGCATATTTATAAAGCAGAATATCAATTTTAAAGTAATTACTATCTCCAATAATTTTAACCCTTCTATAGAGGTTTGTACGATCACCGTGAATGATGGGGAATTCAATTTAGTCTCGATATATAAGCCACCAGAAGTTCGGGCATCGCAAAGAGATTGGTGCAATCTGTTTACTCAATTCAGTGATCCTACAATTTATTGTGGACATTTTAATTCACATCATGACCTTTGGGGTTATAGAGAAGATGATGCACAGGGAAAAAATTTGGTGGACGCCATGGAAACTTAGGGCCTAGTAATTCTTAATGACGGTCGACCTACTCGCATAGTCAGTCCACAATATACAGGGTGGGGCAAAAGTCACGAAGGGATTTGAAAAATTAATAACTTTTTCAAATTTATTTTGTTTTCATTTTTTTTTTCAGGACCGTGTAAAATAAATCCTGGAGATTAATTATGGAGCGTTACAACCTCAATCAACGAACCAAACTTATAGAATTTTATTTTGAATATCACCATTCAATAATTCAAACTCAACGAGCATATCGTCGTCATTTCAATTTGCGGAATTCGCCCTCTGAATCAATGATTCGACGCTTAGTGGCACGATTTCAGCAACAAGGCACAGTTATGGATCTCCCACGAAGCGGAAGGCCACGTTCCGTAAGAAATGAAGGGAACATTCAACGCGTTCAGGAGAGTGTTCAGGAGAATCCGGAAACCTCAACCCGAAGACGTTCTGCTGAGCTGCAGATGTCTCAAAGGTCTTTACGCAGAATATTAAGAGGAAATTTACATCTGTTTCCATATAAAGTGCAGCTAGTGCAAGAACTAAAACCAGCAGATTTTCAAGAACGACTAAATTATGCAGTTCGCTTGCAAAGAATGGCTCGAGAAGATAATGAATTTATTCATTCTCTGATCATGAGCGATGAAGCCCATTTTCATTTGAATGGCTTCGTAAATAAGCAGAACTGCAGAATATGGGGTACCGAGAACCCAAGGGTGGTTCATCAAAGGCAATTACATCCGCTTAAATGTACAGTATGGTGCGCAGTTACGTCTCAACGAATTATTGGACCATTCTTCTTCGAAGACCACGATGGGAATGCTGTATCTGTAGATGGCGACCGATATCGTGATATGATTCAAAATTTCTTAAGACCAGCTCTTGCTGACAATCAAACGATGACTTTCCAACAAGATGGAGCCACTGCGCATACTGCTCGAGCCACTATGCACCTTCTAAGGCAGATTTTTGGCGAACGTTTAATTTCGAGAAATTCAGGATTCAATTGGCCCGCCCGCTCGCCGGACTTAACAGCCCCTGATTATTTCCTTTGGGGATATCTGAGAGGAAAAGTGTATATTAATAAACCCACAACCCTGCAGCAACTAAAAGATAATATTCGAGCAGAAGTAAGTGCTTTGGGGCCAGATATTCTGACTCGGGTAATGGAAAATGCTCTTGCAAGAGCTGCACTTTGCGAGGCTGAAAATGGCGGTCATTTGCGTGATGTAATCTTTCACACTTAAATTGTAAACAAACTCCAAACATTGCATTTTAGTTTTGTGTTAGGGAAAAAAATTA